TCCTACACAACTATAATCTGCCTACTAATTGACAATGCAACTCTTGACGTCAGCAGCTCACGAAGTACTGGAAGATGTCGCCCAAATACAGACCATCGCCAATACCAGGTATGTGACCTCACATCATCATCATCATCATCCTTCTCTCTCTCCCCTGACTTACTCCCACGTTTTCCTTCTGTACACCCGAAGACCACCACTGCGCCTCACTGTTGTCCAAGCCCATCCAGCTATGGCGGCTGGGCTATGGCGCTGCCCTCAGCAGCGCCCTGCTCCCTGCACGACAGCACACGCTAGCAATTTGCCTCTCAGCGCCAGCAGCAGCCCATGAGTGTCCGCTCCAGCAGCGCTGCCGCCAGCATGCAAGTGCTGAATAATGCTCCAGGCAGCGAGCTCTTTCCAATATGGAAAGAGCCTGCCTGTCTTCGCAGCCTGGCTGGCCTGGGCCTGGGCCCAGAAGCTTCCGGTAGGCCCCAGGATGCTGCGCCTCTGTTGCAGCTACTGGGCCTCGTTCGGTTGGGCCTCCCAACTGTCTGTGTATGAGCCTGCGATTCTCGTCCAGGGCCTGCATCATTTTGGAAAGGCCTGGAAGGCCGTGGAATGTCTCGCTGCTCGGCCTGTGTTTCCCTCAAACAACTGGCGCGACGAAAACTGCCTGGACCCCAAATACGATATTGACAGCTCAGGGCCTCTCATGATTCGTTAGGCCCACCTTCACTTAGGGCAGGCACATCTGCAGCAAGAGGCCACTTAGGCCTGCTGAGGACCCAGATCCTCGCATTCCCTCCTTTTCTTCGATAGTCCTCTGAGAAGTCTTCTAATCTGCAGGCAACTTCCCCTTGAGTTCTCTCTCATAGCCTGCAATAACTTGGGGTGCTGTTCGCATGAGTTCTTCTCTGGTGAACCACCGATCTTCCGTGGGATCCAGATGATGTCTGAATCTCACACGGTATTGCATTCTTGGCTTAGGAGGGAGGCCTCTGCCCGGTGGTTTAGGCATTGGCATCACTCGATGCTCTACGATTCCATCGATGTCAACTTCGCCATCCATGGTTGGGGGCAGCATTGACCGTCTGGAAGGAAACTGTGCAGTCTCTGCGAAAGGTGCCAGCTTGGAAGCGTGGAAAACTGGGTGTGTACGTAGATGAGGTGGACGTGAATCACATAAGAAGGTCGGTCCACCTGATGCCCCACTATATCTAGGACCTCCCAGGGACCGAAATACTGTGGCATTAGTTTTCTAGATATTCCCACTTCCTGTCCCAGTTCAGATGACTTTACCCAGACCCTGTCCCCTACCTGAAAGTTAGAAGGCCGTCTGTGTTTGTTCTCAGATGCAATCATAGCATCTTGAAATTTCCTCATGTGCTCAACGGCCTGCTGCAGCCTCTGTTCGTACTTGACAGCAAATTCTACGCTGCCGGGTGCTGCAGTGGCCTGTTTTTCAGGTAGTCGGAAGTCGAGGGTGGAACGGGGCTTCCAACCAAGATGCAGTTGGTTGGGAGTCATGCCAGTAGCACTGTGTACAGCGTTGTTGTACAGGCTGGCAACGAGAGGTAGTTTCTCGTCCCAGTCATCCTGGCTTGGCTTAATGTCGTGCCTAAGTAAGTGCTGCACTACCCTGTTCATTTGTTCCGCTTGTCCATTTGACTCAGGGTGATTCCCTGATGTCATCTGCAGTCTGGTGCCCATCTGTTGGGCTGTGCTTTGCCGCAGTTCGCTTGTGAAACGTACATCTCGGTCACTAACGATAGACTTGGGTAGACCGAACCCCGTACCCAGTTATCCATAAACAGTCTGATGACATAGTCAGTTTTGGCAGTCTCGGGCATAGCGATTAATCTTGCATATTTAGAGAAGTGGTCTACTATAACAAAGATGTGCCTTTTCCTAGACCTGCTGGTCACAGGAGTACCCATGAAGTCCACGGACACAGTCTGACCAGGACCTTCAGGAATCGGCAAGGGCTTGCCACCAGAATTTCTGTACTAAGTTAGCTGACGTTTTTCTATAGCCGAAATGGCCAGTTGCGTCATGACACTCAACTAAAAAATAACCAACGCAAAGACTCTCTATTCGGAACACAGTCTTTTATTCCCCGCCTTCACAAGAAACAGTAAGCCATCAACCATCGTAAATTCATCAGAGGTTACCTTATCCTTCGCTTGAAATTTACGAATGATCTCAGACATGACTGGATCTTGCTGATAGGCTTCCACCAAGGATCGGGTTAAATCGTCAGATATACCAAACTCAGTCACTAGTGCGCCCAGATAATCTGCCCTTCGCGATAGTGCATCAGCCACTTTATTGTACTCTCCCTTGATTCGATCAAGTTGATAGTCATACATATGAATCCACCGCTTAAGTGCGTCAGAGAGTACAGGCTGTGTCTTGATCCAGCACAAGGTCTCATGGTCAGATCTCAAGTAGAAGAACCTGCCTAGGAGGTAGTGTCTCCCATGGACCAGCACTCTATAGAGGGCGTAGAGCTCACACTCATACATGGACTTCGCTAGCTTTTGAGACCACAACTTCTTACTCATATACTATACACCTCACACTCATACATGGGCTTCGCTAGCTTTTGAGACGACATCTTCTTACTCATATACTCGATGGGTCTCAACTTTGGCCCCTCCTTTTGCGCAAGGACCGCGTCTATGCCATATTGGCTGGCGTCTGTGATTACAACAAATGGCTTATCAGGATCCGGAAGTTTGAGGACCTTGTAGTGTGTCAAAGCATACTTCAATTAAAGCTTGCCTCACACTCTTCAGTCCACTCCCAAGGGGTGTCAAGTCGAGTTAGATCTGTTAATGGGGACGCTATAGTACTATAGTTCTTAACAACCGGACGATAATAGCCCGTCATCCCCAAACACGATCGGACCTCAGTAACAGTCTGGGGTCTGGGCCAGTCTCGTACGCTGGGCACTTTGGCATCGTCCAGCCTCAACCCATCCGAGGAGATTTCATGACCCAAGTACAAGATCTTGGTGCGACCAAACTCGCATTTCTCCAAGTTTACCTTGTACTGGTGATGTATTATTCGAGTCCTAGCACTATCTTCAAGTGCTCAGCGTGCTCCTCTACAGTCTTACTAAAGATAAGGATATCGTCAAGGTACACGACTATAAACTTGTCTAAGTATGATGAAATATCCTATTCATCGCGTGCTGGAATGTCCCAGGGGCATTGCATAGGCCAAAGGGCATCACCATAAACTCGTACAAACCCTACCTGGTCTGAAAGGCTGTTTTGTGCTGGTCCTCAGGTCTAATGGCAATTTGACGGTATCCGGACTTCAGATCAATCTTTGTGAAGTACCGGCATCCCTGCACTCTATCCAATAGGTCGTCCGATGGCACTGAGGCCCCTGTAGTCAATGTGCATCCTTAGGCACCTCCCTTCTTAGGGACAAATAAGACTGGCGCACCGTAAGGGGAGGTACTAGGCCTTTTCTGTGAGCTCCTTGAGTTGGCGGCGAAGCTCATCCAACTCCGCAGTCAATGCACATCCTTAAGGTACCTCCCTTCTTAGGGACAAATAACACTGGCGCACCGTAAGGGGAGGTACTAGGCCTTTTCTGTGAGCTCCTTGAGCTGGCGACGAAGCTCATCCAACTCCGCAGGAGACATCCTATAGATTCATCCTCTAGGCACCTTACTACCTCGAACAACCTCTATCCCATGGACCTCCCTTTCCACCACGCCTGTGGGCTCCTCAAAAAGGTCAGAATATTGTACGATGACTGATTCTATCTCTGGGGGTGTTTTTACGGCCTCCCCTTTCTCAGAGACAAAGGCTAGATACCATAGCTACGCCGGACCGGACTCCGAACCGAACCTGGACCCCGGACCCCTGACTTCCCGGCGACATCCGGACTTCCGAAAAACCGAAATATTCTGGAATTTCCGGACCGGTCCGGAACCCCTGTCCGGATGCCTGTCCGGAATACCTGTATTTTTCGGGGCAAAAAAAAAAAAAAAAAAAAACACACACTCGGGGGGAATGCTCGATCTCAGGTCTGCATCTCAACAATTCATGGGTGTGCAACAGAAGGCTGAATTATGCCGTGGGTTCATGTGGTGAATATTCTTTCTGGTCTATCTGGATTGAAACTTGGGTCTGTATTTCAACAGGTCGTGGGTGTGCAAAGTGGGCTAGGCCCATTGGAATGCCGTTGGCTTTTTGCCAGTGAAAAAGCCAACGTGTGAAAAATAGGCAAAAAAAGAACTAAAAGAACCCGCCAAGTGGCGGGCACAGGGAAACATGGAACAAAAAGTCCCTCCCCCCCCCCTTGCAAGCGCCTCTTCTGATGGGCGTTTTTTTTCTTTCTTAAAATGGCATATTCATTTCTGTTT